GTAGAGGAGACAGAATGGGAAAACCATGTGAAAATAAAAAGAACAGAAGTCAGTGAAATTTGGGAAACATTAATGCGTTTCAAACCAATTCGGGGAGTGTCGGAAGGTGGCAGAAAATTCATGCGGAGCAGCAGTTTTTCTCCAAGCGCTGCCCGGCCCCTGGAGGGAGGGGCCGAGTCAGTGATCAAGGGGATGCAGCAGACATTGTCCTAAACCTAATCTCACATCTGGGGCAGCAGTTGTGTAACACGGAAAACAAACTCTCAAATTCCTTCCAGTTGCACTTTGACGTTCCTTTCCACTGGCACCAGGTTGTAACTCCAGGCCGGCCTTTGTAGTGCAGAGGAGCGAGTGTAAGGCACAGATTGCTTTTGATTAGTTACATCCGGGCCTTGCACTGGCTCACGCATCAGATAACCATCTCTGCCTATCAGTAAGCGATTACAATTGAAGCTGACCCTTGTGGTTTAAATTGTAGGAAGTCCGAGAATCCCTTAGCCGAGCCGGCCCACCAGCTCGCACCTACTTTGCTTATCTGGATGCTAAAGGCGCCGCTGTCCACTGCGCGTGCGTGGTGCGTGGAGCCAGGAGCACCAACTGCGCTGGCCCGCCGCCTACGCAGAGCGACGCGGACCCGGGAAAAAGCAAGTTTCCCAGATCCGCGGGTCGGCCCGCTTCTGAGAGCTGTCTTTTTGCCCTGGATGACCGAGCTTTGGACCTGCGGGCCCCGGGACCCCCTGCGTTGCAGGGAGCGCGCGAGGGAGACTGCAGCGAGGACGCGCTCCGTGAGGGCCGGACCTGAGCTCAGCGGCTCCGGAGCGGCGGGATGGCTCTTGTCTTGCAGAGCTTTGAAGGCGGCTAAGGGAATGAGGCCGTCGCCCGGATGCCGTTCTCGGGATCGGCTCTTTGAGTCCGTGTTCACCGATCCGTCCCTTGTTTGCGCGAGGTTCCCATCCAGGAGGCTCACGGCCCCTTGGTCTGGATTGTTTTGTACAGACTTTTTTTGGGGGGTTGGGGTTCTCCGGTACCGGGAATCGAACTCACTACCTTGCGCTTGCCAGGCAGGCGCTGTGCCGCTGAGCTAAATCCCCAGCCCCTGTTTTGTACAGACTTCATGGGCTTCATAATTATGGGCCACACGCACTGTTACAGGGTCCCGGGAATGTGGGTAAGTGTTGGGACTTACGGAAAACTATCCACCCTGTGCGCTTTTCTGCCCTTTGAACCTGGTACCACCGAGCGGCCAAACCTTTGGGCTTTTTTTTTTCTCTTTATGAGGTGTGGGGGCGGGGGGTGGGTGCCTCGCTGTATCACCTAGGCAGGTCTCGAACTCGTGAAATCCTGCAATCCTTCTGCACCAGCCTTCTGAGCAGCTGGGACCCCAGGCGCGCTCTACCTGCCAACTGCGCGTGGGCTTCTTTTGCCCTTTGAATCTGGTTGCACTGGACGGGTGTGTACCCAGCTTTGTTTGGTGGGAGGGCACACCCTTTGTTGCTGAGAATTGGTGTGGGTCAATTTGCCTATTTTTCTTTGTAGGATCTTTTCCTTCTCATTTCTCTCTCGGTCTCTTGAAGAAAATATGGGTAACGCCAGTACAGTTTGTGATGGTAGCCCTTTAGGAAGGATTTTGAGAAAATAGTCTGCTTTCTCACTTCCTCTGTGACCAGAAAAGAAAATGGTTTATACTGCAAACCTGCTTGGCTATTGCACATGTTGGGGACCGAGGGGAGATGGTTCCGGTCCATCTCCCTTTTGGAACCGTTTTGTCTCAGGACTGACAAGGCAGGTGAGAGTCCTTACATGAGAGCCTTTATGTACCTGCATGAGGAAGGAGAAAGAAAGGGGGATTTTACGTTCATGGCATCAAGGAAGGAAGGGAAGCAGAGACGCCGTACTGAAATCTCCACATAATAACCACCGAGGGAGCCCCCATTTTGGAATCTGAATAGAACAAGGGAGGGCTGGCATTGCCTCAACTTGCACCACCCAGTCATCAGAACAGATGGTACCCACCCTTACCAATCATCCAGACCAACCTGCGTGAACCTGGGCCGGAGGCAGAACCAGTCTCCCCCTACAAGACCCAACAGGGCACCCAGTTGGGCCAGGGGGTGCTTGTAGGCCTAGAGGGAAAGTTCGCTCTGCTTCAGTCCCCAGCACAAGCTGTCAATCAGCAAGGACAGCCGGTTGGATTCTTGGGGTGTCATCATCCATATTCCCTCTCAGACTTGGGAAGGTTTCACAGTGAATTGCCTTCCTACAAAGGTGACCTGCAGAGAATAACGAATACTTTTGAGATGCTCTTTGTTGGACAAAACCCAGTGTGGGCAGATGAGCAGCTGTTGCTGGAGCACCTCCTCACTGCAGGTGAACGGAGAGTAGTGTTGTTAAAGGCTCACAGGGAAGCGAGTTGTGTCCACCAGGAGATTACAGCAGAAAACCCGGAGCCCGGTGTTGCTATCCTTGGAGATAGCCCTGACAGGGACCTAAACAGTGGGGACTTGTGTAGGCTCGGTCATTAGCAGAGATGCTTATGGAAGGCAGCAGCTTAGCATTCAGAGAGAAGTAATCTTTAGATTGTGCCCAAACAGTGTGATGTTCTGGACTCGCAACCAGAAACGAACCAAATGGTACCGACCGACAAACACCAAGACGCACGGACCGCCAATTGGAATTTAGGACGAGCCTTTATTCCTGGCCAGGGACTGACTGACAGCCTCCACGCAGGCAAGGATCAGACCAATGCCCATCCAGGGACGAGAGTAGCTTTTATACCCTAAAACCGCATCCTGTTTGGCAAACACATGTCACATCTGTAACAATGAGGGGACTCTTTCTTTTATGGCAGGAACAGTACATTCCGAGAATCCGGGAGGGGTAGAGCATTTAGGGGAAGAACAATACCTTTTGGGAGTCCAGGAAGGGCAGGGCGTTTACAACTAGTTTACAACCATACATTCCAGAAATGGTAAGTATGAAGATCTAACCCCACAGCAGGGGTGGGAACTGGGAATTAAACTAGAATCTTTGATATCTGTGGTGGGGCTTTTACATGTGACGGCTCATGAAAAGGTGCTTGTTGGTTGTGTGAGTTACTGTCATTGTCCCAGAACCTCTGGGCTGCTGTGCTGGGTGTCCTCTTACAGGGAGGCAACTGGATGACAATATAGTTCTTGACACAAGACATGCAAAATGATACGCTTTTTCCCCCCTGCCCCACAGTACTGTAGATAGAATCCGTGGCCTTTGTGCGGGATTACTTACCCAGCCCTTTTGTGTTGATTACTTTTCTGTCATTGCTGAGACAAAATACCAGATGCCCAAAATTAAGGAAGGAAAGGTTTATTTAGTTCACACTTTGTGGAGGTTTCAATCTGTAATCAGCCGGCTCCAGGACAGGGTGGCATGGCACAGGGGACACTTCAAGGTGGCTGGAGACAGCAAAAGCAACAAGAGCAAAAGGGGGAAAGAACAAGCCTCCTTTCTTCCCTTATATTGTATTTGCGTTACCTGCCCTAGGACGGATCCTCTACACCGTAGGCTATAGAACTGCTGTGACTTAATTAAGCCTCTAAACTTCTCAAGTTGACACAGTGTATCAACCATTATACCTTCTATTTTTTATTTTTGAGATAGGGTTTTGTTAAGTCGCTAAATTGGACAGGTGAGGATGAAATTTGAGATCCTCCGGCATCAGCCTCCGGGAATGCTGGGATTACAGCCATGTGCCACCATCCCTAATTAAGAGAAGCCTTTCTAAAAAACACCTCTCATGGTGAGATGATTCAGTTACCCAAACATGGGTCTCTAGGTCAGCTTGGACATGGGGCTATTTCCTCCTTCAACTGGCTGCACTCTCAAGCACAGTCCATTGCTCAACCCCAGTTGAACGGTTTGGGGGAAACTTGGTGGCAAAAGCTCCTAGCATAAAGCTGGTACATTAGGTAACACGAGAAGGAATCTGGAACAAACAAGGAGAACTGCTTTCTAATCAGAGTCCAGAGAGCAGAACTAGAGGATTTTTTTGTTCATCAAGTTAATTTGTACCATACCTTATCACCTTCCCCAGGTTCCCGCATCCAGTTGGAGGTAGCCAGATGGATTTGACACCCCTATTTACAAATTAACAGGATGTGTAAGAAGGGAAATTTTTTTTTATTCCTTTTAGTTGGGCTTTGATGTTCCTTTGCTGTCAGCACTAGGTTATAACTCACAGCTTGCTGTTGTAATGTAGATAGACACCTTGCTTTTGTAGGGTCAGATCTTGCCTTTATACTTGGGGTGCCTCAATAAGGTGCCTGTTGAAGTCGTGATGGGATTTAAACTGACCATTGTTGTTTTCAGTTGTAGGAATTCAGGAACCCTGTTAGGTGAGGCAGACCACCAGATAGTAACCCTTGGCTCTTTTTAATGCAAACTCATGGCCCAGAGGTGCTTCTCTTGCTGCCTGCTGAATGTGGCTGGGTAGACACATATACGTAAACTGACCCACCTTTACCCATGAGGACGGCCTGGGCCCTGGAAAAGGATGTCTTCATCTGTAGTGGACTGGTGGGAAGCAGATGGGCTTTGTGGTACGGTCCTTGTCACTGGTCGGCCAGCCCTCCAACAGAGCCCATCTCCTTGCCCCAGCGCACTGTCTTGTGAGTCCTTGGTAACTGAGTGGCAAGTAGCAACACATGCCATGAGCTGGGCGTGGTGCAGCACACGTGCAATACCAGCATTCTGGGAGGCAGAGGCAGGAAGATCACCATGAGTTTGAGACCACCCTGGGCTACATGGTAAGTTCAAAGCCAGCCTGAATTATATAGCGAGACCCTGTCTCAAAAAAAATTTTTTTTTCATGCCATTAGTTCCAAACATAACTTGGTGGCAGTAGGACTCACTAAGCATAATCTGCTATTACTCACAGAGGCAAATGCCCCAAATCTTGTATCTGTTACTTTTATAGTTTTTAGATGAGTGCATGTGATAAGCGTGTTGGTTTCTTTGACTTACAGTTCAAGTTGCCTTAATATTTGGTGCAAGAACATTAGACTATGTCTTCAATTTGTGCAAAGGTAAATTTGACTTCCTTGAACGGCTCTCAGACAGTCTGCTCCTGAGCATCATTTCTTACCTGGATCTTGAAGATGTGGCCAGGCTTTCTCAAACTTCACGTCGATTTGCAAAGGTAATGCTCAGTTATTTTGTGTTCGTATAGAATTTTCCATATATGTAAAGCAGAAAATACACTTACTCCCAGTTGGGAGCTCCTGCCCTTTGTAAGCCTTTTTTCTATGGTACCAGGAATCAAACTCAGGACCTTGCACTTGCCGGGCAGGTGCTGCACTGCTGAGCTATATCCCCAACCCCTCTGACAAGTATCTGTTTTCTGGAAAGTTTCTGTTCTCCCAGAACCTTCTTCCCACCATATATAAAGTAGGTGAAACTCAATGTAACCTCTTGACCAAACATGTACTGGTGGGTTAATAATATCCCCTGGTTATCACAGACTGATCAGGTCCGCAATCTCCCAAATGAGTGAACAGCGAAGGCTTAGAGACAAGTGATGTGATTGTAGGGCTGTAAGAGGTTCCAAACCCTCTATCAGAATTCGAGATTCTCTGGGGCTAAGACCAATAACTTCTGTGGGTGGCTGGAATTTATTTGGTTTTCAAACAAAGGAGGAGGATACTGAAGAAAACGTGAGAATGTAGCACGACCTTGGGAGATATTTTCCCAAGTAGTAAATTATGTCGATCAGGACAACTACCTTATCTTTAGGTTGTCATTTTTGTAGGAGTGTGGAGCTTGCAACTGCGGTCTCCTTGTAGTTAATTGGGGTTGGAGCCAAACATCCTCAGCTGTGGTCTTATCTTGTCCTTTGAGACATCACAGCTTCACAGGCCACTACAGGCCTCAGCGGTGACCAGTGACTCACAGGGGTTCACTTACTATGAGTCTGCTGCCCATCTCCAGAGAAGGGGCATAGGCCTTGGACAACTCACAAGTAAACACAGAGAGCCAGCTGGTTAATATTAAATCCTGCTCAGAGCCGCTTCCTAGTGGTCTCCATCAGTGCACCTCCAGCTTGTTCCTGCCATATGTAAAGAAGGTGAAACTCGGTGTAGCTGTCTGTCCAGTCAGTTGGCAGCAGGCGCTCTGCTTCCCTACGTACTTCCTGTTTGCTTGCAAAACCCTATGAAAACCCTGCTGACTGAGAATTTGGGGCCTGACTCTTTGTCCCAGGCAGGACCGCCATCATCAATAGAGCTGTACACTTACCTCCTGAACTTGGGTGCTGTTCGGTTCTTGGTCTCTACTTGCTGTGAGTTGTAGCGTTTGCTGTAACATATGTTCTGTAAAAAATTTTTTTTTTCCTTTTTGCAGAGCTGGGGATCAAACCCAGGGCCTCACACATGCTAGACAAATGCTCCGCTACTGAGCTCGACTCCCAGCCTGTTTTCTGCATTTGTTTCAGCAATTGTTTGTTGAGTGCTCACTTTCTGAGAGACACTGTCGTTGGCAGAGGAATGGCAGAGTAGGACGTCCCTGCCATTATACCAGTGCAGGCTTGAAAACTGCTCTGTAATTTCCCCGGTGCTGTAAGTTTTTCGAGGTTGCTGGTTTCAGCCCTCAGCATCCTTGCAGAGTAGAATCACTCAAAGGTGGGTCCTGCCTCAGGGGATGTTAATCATTTATTTTCATTGTCAAGCTGAAGTTTTACCTGTGCTCCATTTACTTGCTGTGTCTCTTCATTTATAAATTATTTATAAATTAAACTACTGCTGATTTTTTAAAATGCTATTTTTTTGGACTGTACCGTAGACTTTTTGGTTTTGCTTTGTTGTGCTTTTGATTTTTTGAGACAGGGTCTTGCTACATAGCTCAGACTGCTCTTGAACTCACTGTGTAAACCAGGCTGGCCTCGAGCTCACCACAATCCTGCCTCAGCCTCTTGAGGACTGGGATTACATTGTGCCACCCACCATGCCTGTCTTGTTATCACAGTATTGTGTCCATGGACAATTCTTCTTCTGATGTCAGGAGGGAAGAGCTCATCTCCTTCTTGGGGTCAGTGCTACCTGCGTGTAGCTCAGGGCTTCACCTCCTCACCCTCCTGTGTTGCTGTGCTTATTTTAAACTTTCTATGTATAGCTTTAGACTGATGAAAGTGCTGCAGGGTAATACAGGGTTTGCATCTACCCAAGTTCTCCAGAGTTAACATCTTACGCTCTCCAGAGTAACCATGGCACATTGATCATAGTTAAACAGTTAATATTAGTACAGTGCTGCTAGCTAAAGCAGATATGTATAAATTTCATTGGTTTTCATACAGTATCTCTTTATTTACTGCCCCAAGATCAAATCTAGGTTCCTACATTGCATTTAGTTCAGATTTTTTCTTTTCTTTTGTTTCTTTGAGACAGGTTCTCACTGTATAGTTCAGCTGACCATGAAGCCACTACGTAGCCTAAGTTGGCTTCAAACTCACTGTGTTCCTTCTGTCCCAGCCTCCCGGTGCTGGGATTCCAGGTTTTTAACTCTCTTTCTCTCTGTACATTCATTTTCTCAAATCAGACTCATACTTCAGAAGACCTTTTGTTGTTGTCAGTGCTGGAATGGAACCCAGGGCCTCATGAATGCCAAACACACCCTACCACTGACCCACACCTCCAGCCCTGACCAGCACCTCCTAACTCTGTTCTTACCCAGTCTCTCCTCTTCAAAATGGTTTGTTCACCATTTCCCACCCAGCAAACGGGCATCATCGGTCTGTGACTTCATAATCCCTGATGAAATGAGAAACATAAGGACAATGCAGAGATCAGCCTTCCAGCGTAACTTACCTCATTCACGTGACCATCTTTATTGAATGTTAGCTGCTTCTGTTTGCAGGAGGGTAAAGGTGCCCTTCTTTTATTAAATAGTGGGAACAGTACATGACCATTTCTAAAAGTTGTCCTTACTTGGCAAAATTAAAACGTGAGCATCCTCATTTTGCTTTGTAGTTTTTGTTCTGCTTTGGTTTTTAACATTCATGGGCCCTGTGCCATCTGCAGTTCTGAGCTGATGATCTGCTATCAGTTTATACCTGCGCTCCCTTCCCCAGCATCCGTGCCTTCTAAACATCCCCAGTGTATCCCCAGTGACCTCACGGCTGCCACACCCAACAGCGCATTTCAGGCCTTTACTTCCTGCCCGTCTCTGCCTCTTGGACTCTGGCTAGTTCTCTGCTGGCTGGCCCTCCACTGGTTCATTGTCCGCTCATCTATGCAAGCTCAGAGTGGCTTCCTAAAGTGCACATTGATCATGCCCCTCAGTGGCCTTTTCTTTTGAGGTAGGGTCTCACCATGTCGTTCAGGCTGTCTTGAACTCACTACATAGCCAAGGCAGACTTCAGACTTGCAGCAGTCCTACTACCTCAGCCACCCGAGTGCTGGGACTATGGGCATGTGCCACCATACCCAGCTCAGTGACTGTTTCAAAGACGAGCTTCAGCCCCTTAGCCATATCTGCAAGCCCGGGGCTCTAGGCCTTGCCTCCTGCTACCCTCAGCCCCAGCCAGGCAAATTCCTTGACATTCTTTGAGTGCTGGATTCTTTTGTGCCTCTTTGCCTTTGCTTAGGAAAAAAAGGAGGGAAAAGGGTATGAGCTGAGCCGGCCAGGTTATTTCAGAACGGACCTGAGAGGGACCGCCCTGCACTTAGGCCAGACTGGCAGCTCTGGTACAGGCTGTGAGGTCTTTTATAGCGTCATGAGCACAAAGGGGACCTGTGAAAGGAAAAGGGCAGAATGGGGCTTGCGAGGGGGCGAGCTCAGTGGAAAGGAGTCGCGGCTCCCTGCCAGGGACACGGCCTGAGAAAGTACAGTACAGGGCGTGGCTGTTGCCTGCCAGGAGCAGGGCTGGACGATGGGAGTTACGGACGCAGCCGTGGTGGCTGGGCCTCATTAACCCATGGTTATACCTCTTGATCGGGGTGAAATACAGCAGGGTAGAAGAGCTTTCCGAGGGAGGCAGTGGACAGACACCCTAACTTACTGTATGAGTGTGTTTTGCATTGCTGTAGTTAGACACCCAAGGCTGGGTCCCTAAAGAAAAGGGTGCACTCCCTGCAGTGGTGCTCAGCTGTAATCCCAGCTGCTCAGGAGGCTGAGGCAAGAGGGAGGCAGAGGCAGGAGGATCGCAAGTTCAAGGCTCGCCTGTGCAACATAGACTGGCACAAAACAAAAGGTGTATTTAGCTTGCTATTCTGGAGGTGCAAGGGCCTGCATCTGGGGATGGCCTCCTTGTGGCAGAGTCCTGAGGCCGTGCAGAGTGTCACATGACAAAGCACAAGGAGCCTGTGTGTCTGTGTCCTCTGCTTTCTCCACTAGATAAGCCACACTGGTATTCACCCATGGGGGCTTCACCCCGATGGCCTTAGCTTACCTGAATTGCACCCCACAAGCCCTCCTGCAAACACTACAGTAGGGTTAAGTTTCCACCTTTTTTAACACCTCGGAGTGGGGATTAAATTCCCACATACGAGTCTTGGGGGATGCTCAGCCCATTCCCAAACACTGGCACTTGCATTGCTTCTTTTCTAGCGGTGCCCTGACCTTCCACTCCCACCTCCCGAATGCCCCTCAGTGCCACTTGCACGAGCATGTCCCACCTTTCTTGCCTTTTACCCCCACCAAGCTCAGCAGCAAGGGTCCTGCTGCTTGCTTTTGTATGCCCACTTACCGGGGAGCCCAGCCCAGCCACGAGGGGCTGCGGCAGTTCTGTTCATACTCTCTAAAAGAATGGTTTGCGTTACAGTGGTCAGATTGGAAAAGCCATTCTTCCATCCCACAGCCTCATTCCTTGTTCTCCATGGCAACCATAGGACATGTGGCCTGAATTCCTTCTAGAGACGTCCTGTGCACAGGTATGTGAGATAACGTGAGCGCAGGGAGGTACCCACAGCCAGATGTGACTCCGTAGTAGAGTCTGGGTCTCTGGAGAGGGAGCGGCCTTGGCCTTGGAGAGGCCATGGTGCTCATCCGCAGCAGAGAGTGGGTCTGCTTGTCTCCCTTAACGCCGCTGGCAATCAGAGCCATCCAGCCGCCTGTCCTGGTGCTGAGTCCGTGCTCACCACCCCCCATGATGTTTCCGTGGATTACGTGGCCGGGTTCGTGGCTGTATTTTTCAGTGGAAGCAGACAT